AGCAGGCAGCTGGGGAGCAATGGCAGCAAGCTCCGGGCAGGGATTTGCTTTGCAACAGCCCCAGCAGCGTCTCTGTGTCGTGGGGCTGTGGAGCTGCTCTGCGGACGGAGAGCCCAGCCCAGCTCAGGTGCCACGGCACGGACACCCCCAGCCTCTACCACTGGTGCTGGCAGAGAACCATGGCCGGGAGTCAAACCCCAGCTATTCCCCAGTTTTGCCACAAAGACCACTTCTCACTCAGCTCCACCAGTCACAGGCGTTACACAGTGATCTCTCTGAAGCTCCGCGGCTGGAGCCCTGATGGGAACCAGGCTGGTGAACGCTGCTCCAGCCTCCCCATGCTCGCTGGAAACCTGCCCAAAAGCATCTGTGTTTTCAATTTCTTCTTGTCTTTAAGGAAATTATCAACATGAGTGACAGCCCTGGTATGGGCCAATTTCCTTTGTTTGCCATCCCCATTGCCGCTGCAGTGGTTGGATGGGCTGTGCAGGAGGATCTTCCCCATGAGACGAGGTGATTCCAGGGACCTGGAGCCTCCTGGCACAAGCAGGGTCACCCCCATGGGTGTCCATCTCTGAGGGCAGGGGCTGCTTCATCTTGTGGGGGAACTGGTGACATCAGCCTTGGCCCTTCAGATTTCCCTGCCCTCCCAGGGGCTCCCGGACTATTCCTGGGTCCCCCCAGGGGGACTCCGAGCCCTGATGTGACCCATGTTTCCTCCCGCAGGATTTACATTCTCTCACTCCAGCTGCAGGTCAGAGCAGGGCGTTTTATTAAATCCATTGAGGGATGTACGGTGGTGAGGAGGAGGAGACAGCAAGGGAGGGGACACAGCCAGCTCCAAAACTTAACGAGATGAGAATGTACAGATAATTATGGGATGCAAAGAAATGGAGCATATGGGGAAGGCAGCTTCACGTGGAGGCACTGGCCGGTGCTTCCAGCAGAAGGACCAGCGGGATGAAGGCGACAGTTCAGCCCCAGCCCTCCTCCACCCCGGCCCCGCGGGGCTGCTCCACTCACTTGAACTCCCCGAAGAACTGGGAGACACAGCCCCGCTCGCTGCCGCAGGGCAAGT